TAGCTATCAATTTATTTATTTATTTTCAGACAAGGAACTGCTTCAGACGTGATGAAAAAAAGAAACAACAAGTTGATATTGTCTGAAATGAAACAATTTATCATGAACTTGCCGGCTGGTTATGTGAAACGGCTGACACTGGCAGTGATACTTCTTTTGTCCTGTCTTCTCATCACAGTCGAAATATGGCAGAAAACTGCTCATGCCAATTCAAGAAACGCACGCTTCAAGAGCAGACGACTTTGGTTATCGGCAGACGACGACGTCAGTGAAAACCAATTGCCGCAAAAAGCTCACGATAATTTCGAGATAAACAAAGAGAATCTTTTTTTGAATCCGAAGGATTTGCAAAACCCTCCTAATCACGTGACGATATACGATTTCAGCCAACCGAATGACGACGTGTACAAGTGTCCGGAGCTGCGGTTACGGACAGTGAAGACTCCAATATGCATCTATTCTTATTCCGACGACGTGTATATTTCTGGCGACATCATAAAGGGGCACATCTTTGAGAGAATGCTTGTCACCCATTTCCAGGACTTGCTGATCAGCGACCCACACATGCAGTTTATAGACATCGGTGCTAATATTGGTGTGTGGTCGCTTAACGCTGCCAATATGGGACGCCAGGTGCTAGCGGTGGAGCCGTTCTTTGCAAGCTACAGGCGCTTCCAGCGCAGCGTCATTCTCGGACACTACGAGAACAACGTCACTCTTGTTACCAACCCAATCTCGAATAAACGAGAGTACGTGACTTTTAAATCTACACCGGGAAATAAAGGAGGGACATCAATAATACCAATCAGTGAAATGAAAATAGTTCCAAAAGACGCTCCAATTGTCTCAACAATAACATTAAATGATCTTGTTAGCGTCATTGACTTTAAATTTTCTAGGGCATTTTTGAAGATTGACATTGAAGGCAATGAGCTTAAGGCCCTGGCAGCATGTGACGAATTGTTAGCAAAAATCGACATTCCCTTCATAGAACTTGAATGGGACCAAATAAGGAAACACACCAATGAAACTGCTGAACTTGTTAATCGCATGTCAGCAAAGGGGTATCTCCCCTTTAAGGACGGCTTAGTTATTCCTGGATATATCTTGGGGCCAATGAAAAACGACACAAGATGGCGTGGTATGGGTCAGTTAATGTTTGCCAAGAAAAGTTACATTGAAAAGAGAATGAATTATGTTTTAACAAAAGATTCGTACAGGTGACCCTTGTGTTTGGCATATCAAATTCCACTGGTTTTCATTTTTTTTAAATATTCAGTGCTTGTTCAAAGTAACGTTCGATAAAGATTTCGATGGAGAATTTTTTCTCACGCATGGATATATATATATATATATATATATATATATATCCTTTACTAGAGCAATTCCTATCTTTTAAAAGCATTATAGTTAAGGATCACGATATCATGTATGCTGGTAAGTATCAATTGGAAAATTGCGAAGAATGTTTGGAAAAAGAACAGTTTCCTTACTTATTACCGCCACAAACTCGTACAAATAGATCTGTTCATCCATTGAATGTTGATTGAAGAAGTTAATTTTAACCGCATCAACAAGTTATGAGAACTCTGCATGACGTCAACAATGGTAAAAAAATTCTAGAGAGACTAAACGTGTTTTACCTAGTATGACAGTGAATTTCGACCCTTAGGCAACAGTTAAAGAAGGAGCTATACATCATGCCTCATAACAATAGGTCAAAACAGGTTTAATTTCTTTAGAAAAAAAATCACCCTTTTATTGTCTTAAGACAAGAGACATCGAGAGCACCATTTCGCCGAAATGCACCTACAGTATATTAACAGAATGGGATTGTTGGGAATTTAACTAAATCTGTTGTCTTCCTCTACAGCAATCTATTTTGATAGTTTATTTCACATTATGGCAACGAATATATAACGTCTTTTGGCTTTGCCAAAGTCCAAATTCTAACTGAAGGGATATTCCTGTTCAAGTATATTTCTTTACAACACACTGAAAGTTTTCTGCACATTTCATTAGATATGGGACTAAGGTAAATAGTTTTTTTTTGTCGAATTTTGTATTTAGGTGATGGAAAAAAGCAAATCAATTTTTTTCGAGACTCCGTGACAAACCGTTGGTGTCTTAAAACTGCTTACGTGTATTTATTACTGACAATAGACATGTACAGTAGAATAATCTAAAAATGCCAAAGAAGTAAAGGCATTTGATGTTACCGTTTTAATACCATTAGTACTTATGTTTTGTTTCTACATTTTCATGTTAAACAGGTAGTGATTTTATTGCCTTGTGTATTAGATGTATCTGCTTATTAAGTGCCATTTGCATTACCATACTTTTGTACCTAATTTCGACTATGACAATGTGATAAAGAAGGCAACTTTAATTTATTTCAGTTGTTGCTTTTAATAGAATTATAATGATTATATTATACATGTCCAATATAAGTTATTGTTTATACTTTAAATGTAGTAGAACTCGTTGATCTCTTTCATGAGTATTTATATTACTTGTGCTAGTAATTCAGAGTTTTCATAATAAATTGGAAGTCATATTTTCTCCGTTGCGTCTTTCATTTCTTCTATTGCTCTGAAAGATTGGGGATTTCATAGCATTGCTAAAAAGTTGGTACAACAGTAACAGAAATGCAAAAAAAAAAAAAAAATAAATAAAATAAAATAATAATAATAATAATAAAAAAACTCCCTACCGATAAAAATTTAAACGCAAACATTTTCTTTCTTTGATCTCTATAACTCAATATATGAACTTGTTTATATCTAAAATTTTGTGACACGAAATCTAAAAGAAAAAAGCGTATATGCAAAAGAATAAAAGCAAATGTTCAAATGAAGCATATTAATTATCATTTCGATTTTTCTAATTGTCAGAATATCAGTCTTATATTTTTCTTCTTGCCACAGCCTCAGTATATGCATTTAATTACCGCTTCTTAGAAGATAAATTAACAGAGTACAAGGTGATTGAAAATTTAAGCAAAATGTCAAGAACCTTTAAAAATATGGTCACATCTGCGCTTCATCTACATCTAAAGCTTCATCAATTTGCCGCGTTCTCTTAAGCAGAGCAAGTTTCAGCTTTTTCCAGAACTCCTCCCTCTTCCCATCATTCTCCTCTTCTGGCCACTCCAGGTAGGTCACGTGACGCTTCATGAGTCGCAGCGTCTTGGGGAGTTGATCGGGTGGGATCCTCTCCAGAAACACCACAATGAGCGATTTACGCCTCTCGCGCAGTACCTTGGCCTGAGCAATGTCGATCTCATAACGACACCAATCACTCTGTAAGAAATGTTGCGATATAATCAGTATCACCGCCTTGCTGGCCTCCATTTTCTCCACTATGCTATCTATGATGTAATCGCCCGGTAGGAAGTTTCTTGAATGGATACATACATTGAAAAATATGTCTCGACCTTGTTCATAACCTTGACCCTGACCCTGACCTTGGAGCATGTTTCGTCCCTGACCTTGACCCTCCACGTGTGGAAGAAACTGGCGCACGACCCACGCCTCATCTCGACTGTTATGAGCGACAAATGCGTCATATTCGTACTGTTCTTGTCTGTCGCCACAGCGAATATAGCCGTGCCGCCGACGGTTCAGTCTTCTCAAGTGCCACCAGTATACAATGTCAAGGCGAAAGTAGGCCACAAGACCTGCCACTGCTCCAATAATCAAAACGCCGGCCCCGATACAACAGAACACGACAGTAATCAAATGGTTTCCGCATGTAATCCAAGGCGGGTTAAAGTCCTCCAGGGCGGTGTTTTGGTACTCGGCCGGCTCGCTACATTTCTGTCTTGCTCCATATACTTTCGTGGTTGTATGACGGAGCCACTCGGAAAACGAACTGGAATCGCAGCTACACGAAAAGCGATTGAGCTCAATATTTAGGAAGTGAAGGCGCGGGTTCGTTCCTAATATAGAACCTATATCGATTGTCACTAGTTTATTTTTTCTAAGATTCAAGAAAACGAGCGAAGTGAGAGAATCAAATACGGTATCGACGTTCTCCATATGATTGTCTGATAAGTCCAAATATTCTAAGTGAGGCAGATGGGAGAACATGTTGTTCGGAAGTTTGGAGATACTATTTGAAGCTAAAATTAGCCTCCTCAGTGGAACCTGCGATTTAAAAATTTGAGGAAGTACCCCAATTTTCATCATACAGAAGACCGCATTACCCGTAAGATCTATTTTACGGATGCTGGATAATCCTTCGAATGCAGAAAAATTCAGGTGATTTCTCAGCACACAAGCCTTGTTGTGTGTGTACTGAAATGTGACTAATGACGTCATGTTTTGGACTATAAATAGATGAAGGCCCGGATGTGTGTAAGGAGAAGGTAAACTTCCAAATAGCCCATTCAAATACAACTCACGTAGGTTGGTCAGGCGCGTGAAGTTGAGATATCCATACAAGCGATTAAAAGACAGATCCAGAACGTTCAGATGTTGGTGAGGCGGATAATTTATCGTTTTTACCGCCATGAATTCGTTGTGTTGGGCAACCAATTTCCGTAGGTTCGGGAAGCTAAGTGCTACTGATTTAAAAAGTTCCAAATCAGATATACCGTTCATGCTAATATCCAGTTCCCTAAGCGTGGACGATAGTGTCTTGAAACTTGCACGAAAGGTTCTGATTTTACAGAAAGAAAGATCCAACTTTTCAATCACCGGCAGAGCCTGAAAGATATCTGAAGCAACTGCAGCAATGTTATTACCACTGAGGCGGAGTTCGCGTAAACTCGAATTGGAAAGTGGCCTTAAAACTGATGAATTTAGTTCAGCGATATTAATTTGGCAGTGCGGAAGGTCGAGTACTTCTACCTTCGAGTACATTAATCTTTTAACTACCACGCCCCATATGCTGATCATACCCATGCCCAAGTAAACAAAGCGTTTAATTGGACGGAAGGCTTTCAAAGCTATTTCTGAAATATTATTCCAGCCGAGGTCCACTGAAAGATTTTCAACTGATTTGAAGGGAAGGAAGTCCGAGTTCGTGATTTTGGTGATGTGATTTTCCTTGAGGTTTAAATAGAAATGGGTTTTTATCATGGATGCATTGTTGACATGTTGGATCTGAAGTGAGTTTATTTTGTTGCACTGGAAGTTTGCTTCCTGTACATTGCGATGTAACACGATAAAAGCTGGCAAGGCTTGGAGTAAATTGTTCTGTAACGATACTCTCGTAAGCTCATCAAGACCCAAAAGGGCGTCATATTCAACAGTCTCTATCAAACAATGTTTCATTACCAGTTTCTTAAGGTGTGGTAGTCCAAGAAAAGTTCCATTTTTAAGTGTTTTAAATGTGCTGTCGGAGATCTCGAGGGTTGAAGTGTGTGGCGGTATCCCTGGGATATCAACTGGTCGTATGTTGGCACACCTGACGTCAAGTCTGCCGTTGACGTCACTAGAACAAGTGCATTGCCTCGGACACGAACTACCAGAGGAAATAAAGTGGTGGTTTACAGTAAAAAACGCTATCAGAAGCAGCAATCTTTTTTCAGACGTCATTTTTTTCTTTCACTTTAAAGTATGACGCAACGGAGTATGCTGTATTTTTTCCGGTATGCTGTATTTCCTTTGGGTGGAAAATGTGAAGAAGAAAAATCAGCAATGATCTGTCTGTGTCTTCTGTGCCTAAGCAACGAAACAGTCGATAATACTTACACGTAAGATCTTCACTGAACCCTTTCTTTTTTCCGGACCCCAAAAAAGTTTTCAAGAACAATGCGTCCTTATCTATTTCGTTCTCCTGAGAGGGTTACTCACTCAGTCATATTTTACGCTCACTACAAACAGCTTCGGTATTTTAATTTAAGCAAACTTAAGATCACCAGAAATAATGTCTGTGCATTTGACAAAATTTCTCACAAAGGCACGTGGAAAGTGAAAGCGAAACAACACTCCGAGTGACTGGGCGTTCGCGTGATTTACATCCGCGGTTTTGAGTCATGACCGTTTATTTTTTATTTTTGCCCGAATCAAATCCAAGGATATAAGCACGAAAAGGAAGTCAACCGGTCTCGCATTTCATCAGCTTTACTTTATTGGGAGCACAATAAATAGCGAAACGAGACAAAACAACACAATTAAATGATCTGTCCTGCGCCCATACAAACTGGTACCTATACTGTGTAGATATAGACCTATATAGTAGGCTCAGTAACACACTTGTCGGCAACAGTAAAATAAATAGATTTTTGTTTTTTAAGCGTATATTTTATGAAAAGGATACACAGTTTGAATATGCAATTCATGTTTCTACATTGTACAGTAACCTAACACCAAATTCACGACTAGTGACGTTTAAGAGGTAGGCCTACACGTGAAACACGCAGGATTGCTGTTTTGCGGTAGGCCTACCCTTGGCCTACTACTTCCAGTGTGGTATACAGATATAGGTCCTAGGCACAGAGAAAATGCTTGGGGGACAGCTCTGCTGCTCACCACCTAGACTTGAGTTAGGACGTGCGCAGATGGAGTTATTAAAATGAGAATGGGTTCTGAGCATGCGACTAAATAGGGCCTACATGTATATAGGGAAAAGATTATGGATTAGAAATAATGAAAAACAGTTATTAGGCCTACCAAATTAAAAATTGTAATGTAGTTTTTGATGAAATAAATGTAAGGTAAACAAAGCAGATTTGACTGTAATAATAATAATAATAATAATTACTATATATTGTGATGGTTGCCATATTGTCTTTTCTTGATTTCTCCCTCAATCCTGGCACTCTTATTTCAGTCGGGTAAAAAGTAAAAATAATAATATAAATAAAATAAAAATATATATTAAAAAATATCCTTCAATTTGACGTGACCCAAAAGCTGCCCCCCCCCTCCCAAAAAAAAAAAAAAAAAAAAAAAAAAAAAAAAGGTTGCATTTGAAACAGAGAAACCATCTGATTTTTTTGTGCATTTTTTTCGTCCTGTGGCATTAATTTAAAATATTGAAATTGTCAAACTTTTTAAAGTTTTTAAATTTCGTTTGGGGAGTGTTGAATAATGGTTTCAGCAAATCAGATTTCAGATAAAGCAAAAAAACAAGAACAAAGGATTTGCAATGCTTGGTGTTTTAAGCGCGCGACAGTGTTTTTATTATTATTATTATCATTATTTTAAAACTGTGGAAATCTATTCCTCAATATAACGTATATACGGCTAATGACTAACCATTTTACGACAGCTGTCGCAAATGAAATATGACCCACTTTCAGCAAGTGCTTAACTTCCGGTAAAACAGGCTTCCGATTGTTTTTCAATCATCGTGTCATTTTTCATTTAACGCGTGCAACTAGCGCCTGATCGTAGTAAAAATGATACACGGGAAAACAAAGAACTGAGGTAAGATGCCTTTATTTGTTTTACTCATAACTGATTGCTATCTTTGTAGTTTTAATTGGTAAATAGCGTTCAGTAATTCGACAACAAACAACTCGGGGAAATTTTTGCCGGCCGGTGTCACTGTCTCGGGTCGTTGTCGTGATCAGTCTGTCGTGAGAAAATCAGAATGTTGTCACATCACTTTTTTATCACGGTTTCCCACTCCTCTCCGTTAAGCAGATACCCGCATCGGCCAGTGTTAACATATTGTAGAAGTCAATGAGATGAATTCTCTGGCACTGACAGATCTAAATCAATACAGACTGGTGATGAATCATACATACCTCCTTCACTGGCTGACTGCTGAGGAACGCATCGAAGTGTTTACATGTCTAGAATCATGTTTCCTCTTAGAAACGTCTTGTATTTTTTTTCATCTGTCTTCATCGTGTTTTAATTCGCACGTTTTATCAAAGATGTTCAAATGGGAGATTTTGGCAGATTGACTGTGTGTATATATAGATAATAACCATTTTTTTATTGTTTGTTCTATAACCTATCAGCAATAAAATATAAAAACATACCTAAAGTGATTAAACATATCTTTATGAGATGTGACATTTCAGCTTTTAATCAAAGGGCCTTTACCTAATGACATCAATATGAATTGTCTGTTTTCTTTTTTACCACTTTTACAGAAGAAATACTTAAAAACCTGCTTCACCAAACTTTTCATTAATTTTCAGTTTTCCTGATCATGGCTATGTTAAATTGATTTCAGGTCAAAGGCATATAAGGAAGTTCCAAGCTATCTGACCACAGTGCCATATAACATACAGAAGGACCAATTCTTAACCTTTTGATGTCTGTAAACTACCAGTAAATCCAACATGTCAGATTTGGAGACCAATGATTTTCCTCCGGCGCCCCCGGTGAGACACACCAGTACTCTGCCAAGGTAAGGGATGATTATTTCAATAATGAATAAACAAATGAATGAAATCTAATTGGATCAATAAATAAATATATATAAAACAAAGAAGAGAAAACAAGAGAATCGTTTTGATTTTGTACTTGGATATACAAAACTGTATTCTACTGCAGAAAAAAAAGTAACAAAATGGTTAAATTGAGATAAACTTCTGTCTGAATTAAACACTAATTTTGTTAAATACAGTTAACACTTGTGAATATCTCTTCAGGTTTCTTTATAATTATCTATTGTTGTACTTCCTTATCTTCCGAATACACCACTTCAATCCCTCCCCTTCTCCCATTCACCAAACCCACTTCCCAGTGCAGAACTAAAACCATCCTCCAAATGGCATATGAAGTTGTCAGTTGAAAGTGCTCTTGCTGTATCTGTAGTCACATTTGTTGTCCATTTCCATATATCATTTTCTGAGGTGAAGACAGTCTGTTAGCTTTAATTAGATAAACCGTATACAGTTTACAACTATATTACAAAAAGGATTATAATTTAGAACCCAAAAATAAGTTTATAGATCATGATTTTTCAGGGTTTTGGACATAGAAATGGAAAAGGGAAGGGATTTCTGGGAAATTCACTTTTGCTTTGTGAAAGTCTAGATTTAACACACACTGTATACCTTTAAAACTTACACCCACTTGAGTGTTGTCTGTGTCAGAATGTCTGTTATATTTATGGATATGTATATGAATACATCCTCTGGTTAACCTTTCTGTTGTGCTAATGATGTGAAGTTGAGAAAAGTTACAGGTATGTCTACTCAGTTCACAGTATGCTATATCTATAAACTGTAGACTGTTAAAGGGTGTGCATGTATCTCTGTAGGTAAGCTGAGTTCAGGAAAGACTGAGTTCAGGAAAGTTGTGGGACCTGTCTCACATAATAACTGTAGGTCAAAAATAAGTCTAGTAAATATTTAATCCAATTTTTAGTCTTCTAAGAGCCAAGGTAAATCCATGCATGTACAGTTAGATGGAAATTAGAGCTGTTTATAACAAGAAAATGTGACTTGTGTTTCAGACCAGAATTTGATATTTACTGTCCAGACTGTTATATGAAATTAGTTTGAACTGAAATAAATCAAAATTCTGGTCCAAATGTTCTTTTTTTTTTATTAAATTTGCTAGCTTCTTGTCAGAAAATACATTGTTGTAATCAAATCAAGATGGTAAATCTCAAAAAAGTGAAGATGAAAATATGTGAGTAGTGTGAAAATTTGTAGTAATTACCATATAGTCTGTGTGAGATCTGATCATTTGTACTCTATGAACCTCATTACTAGCATGGACACAAATCTTTTTCGGTTTACATCACTTAGCAGCTAAATCATAATGATAGTGTAGAGGAAGTCAAACAATGGATTTTTTATTTTGAGAAATCCCATCTCTTCAACCAATCATGCAAATATATATTTTTTTTACAATGTTTACTTGATGATGTATGTCCAGACCAATTCTTCTTACCCTTCAAGTGTCTTGCCATAAATAGGTGTTATAAAAGCTGGTGAATCAACAGAGTTTAAATTTTGGTATCAAATGCCACCAGAGATGGTGTCGTGTAGTGTTGTGAAAAGTCAAATTGTCTACAAAGCATTGTAGAAAAATTTGAGTGCATTTTTATCTTCAAAACATACATGCTCCTTCTCTCTCTCTCTCTCTCTCCATCCTCTCTCCTCCCTCTTTCTCTCTCTCTCTATATCTCTGCCCTTCTCCTCCTCTCCTCCCTCTCTCTCTCCTCTTCTCTTCTCTCTCTCTCTCTGCCTGTCTATCTCTCTGTCCATTTGTCTCTCTCTCAAATACACACACACACACACACACACACACACACACACACACACATACACACACACACACATGGATGCACAAACAAAAATAAACACATGTACACACATCTTGGTCAGCCCTGATGGTCTGAAAATGTTTTAAAACTGAATAGCAACAATGTGGAACCATGTCTGAAAATGATTGAAAAGTGGCCAACTACTAGTACAACTAATTGAGTTTCTATTCTTGAAGCTGTGAGCTGCGAGAGGGAAATTAATTTTTACACCAATTGTAGTGCAAAAATCAATGGCAGATGGTCTGTGAGGAGGTTTGCAACTCCATGGGCCCCTTTACACAGTTCAGAAGCCATATTTAGAATATTTTTATACTGATCTAAACATTAAAGAAGGATTTAAGCAAAAACAGACAGAGGACTTAAGTCTTTTTTTAGTTGAATTTAATGAGAATATGATTGTCAATGTTTAGATCTACTGTTAGAAAACATTAGAGAAAGATGAAAATTTGGTTCTCATTTATTATTATTATTATTATTATTATTATTATTTGAATTTTTCCCAAAATATGTCAAATCATCTTTCTCTCACAAGTCTGGAATGGATTCTATAGTAGTTTATTTTGTGGTCTGTTTTTCACATGAAACCTACACTATGTGCCTTTAATCTATAAGTTGGTGATGTAGGGGTTGTATTGAGTACAATGTGGTCTGATGTGCTGTGTTTTTGATAAGATCACATGGCACACCAAACCACAAGAGAGCACAAAAGAGGAAGTGGGAAAAAAAAAAGAAAATGTGGCATTGTGGTTGCTGATGTTTTCTATAATGCATTAGCAGTTTTGATCTCTTTTTAACAATTATACTTATGTTGTCTCCTCACTTGCTCGCCCCCCCCCCTTTCTACCCCTCCCTTCACTGCAAACTTACAGGCATTCTCTTCAGAACAATATAGGGCGACTGAAAAAATTTATTTGACTATTTCTTAGGTCAATCTTATGTATAAGTATCATATATATGAAAAATAATTAAAGGGATAGATATAGGTATGACAAATGAAATAAACAGAGGAAATAAAAGTTAATAAAGAAATGAATAAAAGCATTTTGGAAAATTTACATGAAGGCCATGAATTTTGTCTCTGATTTGGAAATATGACTGGGTTCCATTAGAAATGACAATTTGGGATGATTTTTCTCCTGTAGGGATGGTAATCTGGTAGCTCCAGTTGATAAACCTCTTCCTAAAGAACCTGATGCTGATGAAAAGAAGAAAAAAGCAAAAGCTTCCAAAGGTGAGGGTATTTGTTATTTAACAATAGATATTGTAGACTTGTTGATTTTGTCATTTTTAACATTTGAACTTATCATTTACAAAGATTGTTTCATTAAGCCAAATAAACAAATGTTTTATAATGACATTGTGTTTTAGACAATGAATGATATATTCATGTAATACCTGTAAATTTGAACAAAATTTATGTGTTGCATTTCTCAAAATGCTGTGTACTGAAGATGATTTACTGATATGATAGAAGTATCAATTTAAAAGTTGTTGAAGGCAGTTAGGGTTCAGGTCAGAGATTTGATTTTTTGGTAATTGTAAATGATGAAGTTAAATGAATTAAGTATTTAATATTAGGTGCTTAAATATAAACACTCATTTTGGGTACTAGAAAGAAGAAGGGTGTAAAAGATCTTTCAAAATGAAGTAAGGATAGGTAGGTAAAATACTGTGAAAGGGACGTTTCCTAGTACTTAATCATTTTGTTATTGTAAAGTGTACTTATTATTTGTACTTTCAGGTGCCAAAAAGAAGGACAGTGAAAAACCCATCATTTCAGAACCTACTAACTTTGAACACACGGTCCATGTTGGGTTTGACCCCATGACTGGGGAGTTTACAGTAAGTTTTGATTATTACCTCCTCCGCCATTGGAGGTGATGGATTTGGTGGCAATGGTTAGTCTGTTAATGGAGGAGATAATTTTTAAAAGGTGCTTAACAATTTTTGGTGGTTTTTTAAGGTTAGACAGTTTACCTGGAGAAAGATGATATCATAGCAATTTTAACTGAGTTTGGGTTTTCCATTGAGATTATGGAATGTGCCATTAAAAGGATTGTGATTGTGTACTATTAGAAAACATGACAGAAAGGTGTTCTGGTGCAAAATAATCTATTTATTACATGGCCATTTATTTATTATTATTCAAACCTTACAGGGAATGCCTGAATCATGGGCCAAGCTACTCCAAAACTCCAACATTTCCATCTCAGAGCAGAAGAAGAACCCTCAAGCTGTGTTGGATGTACTGAATTACTACGACCACTCGTCTAAAGAGAAACAAGAATCAAAGTATATGACAAATATAACAAAACCTATGCGTAAGTACTCTCAGGAAGAGATGCGAGTACATTTTGATTGTTTACACACACACAGCTCGCACACACACACCTTTTCATGCCATTCAGGGAGAGATTTAAATGTCATTTGAAAATCAACATTGAAATTTTCTTACTGTTGCTTAATGAAAAAAGGATGTCCCCTTTTACATTCTTTATTACCTTATTTATTAAACAGGAATAAGTATAATATATATGATAACCTTAAGTAATGTCCATGTTATTTATATTAAAATTTTGTTATGATGAATTATTGCTGTCGTTACATTTTAGGAGAACAAATTGCAGAAGCATTTTTATTTCTGAAAATGTTTTTTCTTAAATGTTTTTTTCTCTTCAGGCTTAAAAATTTCTCAGTAAAAGTGCTTTGTTTTTGTTCTTCTAGCATAAAAATAAGAATGACTTATATTTCAGGATAATCTTTTTCTCTCTGTTTTGCTTTGTAAAGATTCAAGCATTCATGACTTTTAAGGCATACAGTCAACTTTGGACCTTAATATAGCACATTTTAAAGATTTTAGTTTTAAGTCTGACTGGAATGAAGATCTTGACTCATTTGGTGGAATATAAAGCATTTTTAGAGCAAATAATTGAATATGTTTTGTTATAAACCTTTGAGAAATCTATCCCAGAAATCCACATTTTTTTGTATTCTTTCATCATGCTTCTGCTATTTCTGCCTTTCCAGACTACAATATTACCCTAAAGACTCACCTTGCTGGGGGATACACTGTATGTATGACAAGTTGATATAAGGAGGATGTGTGATACTTAATAACTGGACTAACTTTTGAATAAGACTCTTTCACATCGAGTGTTACGTTTTTCTGATACAGCTGTATGTTTTGAATTTCTGCTTGTAATTATGCCCATTTACAAGTTCTTTACAAGTTCACTTCTTGTTCATTACTATTGTAGTAATTAGTAATTATTTGTGTTGAGTATGGAAAATCCATTGAGATGACTCTCTTATTGTAATGGATAGGCTGGTAAATCTTCAGTTTCTCAAAACAGACCAGATCTGCTGTATCACTAGATGTAACATTGGATGTGAAAAGGGCATTTAGACTAAAAACGATTTTTGGTTGTAGGCTAATTGATAGTATGATGTATTATTCACTGCATTCTAGTTCATGTTGCATAAAACAGGATTTTTTCATTTTAATAACAAAGATTAATTCTTAATATTTGCATTTATGTGGTTGGATATATAAATGAGCAGTGCTACATTCCCATTTAATTACGTTCTCTTCCACGTCAAATAGAAAAAAGTCAGTTGTTTTAGATTGAGTTCTTTTGTTCTCTTGGTTCTATGAACATCACCGGGTAAACTTTTTATCCATTTCAACAATTTGATTTTATTCTTTTCAATAGACAGTATAATCGAAAGCAATATCCTGTTTTATGTAGAATAGTTTGTGATGAAGTATGCATCCTGTTTTGATATTTGGATCTAGAAAGGCATGCTTTGGGCTGGGAATGTAATAATATATTTCAATGAAAATACAACACATTAATTTTTCACATATGATTATGTTCCAACACAGAATGAAAACACAAATTAGACAAAATATTTCCCCACATTAGCATGCATTTCTAGACCCATTGAAATTAGGCAACCCATCACCCCCTAATAGCTCAAGTGGAATGTGCCAGCATGTGGATTATATACCAGGATGGAAGCAGAGGTCACCTTAGATAAGGGGTGTCGGGTGTATGCTGACTGCTGGTTGATTTGTTCCATCTTTAACCTATTTGTAGATTACAATACAACTCCCACGACAACACTCGCGGATAGGTTTGCCACACAGGCCGTAATTACTCCAGTACGTAGCTCAGATCATTGTTTTGTTCTTTTACATTTATCAGTTTTGAAGAACATTTTTCTTTGTATAATGTACTTTAAAAAGTACTATATTGTTTCTAATGGGTCTGAAGATTTTGTTTTTTTTTTTATTTGAGGCATGGTGTATTCCTTCATTAAATGGGTTGTCATATGACTGACTCTTCGAAGCGATCATGAGACCTGGGGTGAAATGTCGTGCCTCCTAAATAAAAACATAAATAAAACAAGTGAGATAAAATTTTAAAAATACAAAAAATAAGATGAATAGGTTTTGTCTCATTAAAAATTATTTTTTTTATAAATATTGCACAAGAGAATTAAATATATATATTTCATCCCCCCATTTTTGGATTTTGCAATGAAACTGACAAATGAAAAAGTCATTTTAGAAAGAAAGAAATTTTTGTCTCCTTATTTCAAGAAATAATTTAGTTTCGATGAAAATCTGTGCATTGTGTAACATGCAAAATAAACAACTGTAAATTTATTTGTTTATTCCACGAAACATTTTCACAATTAACAATTCCACAAACTATCACATCCTTTATTTTGAAATTGAAATAATTATCCATTGTTACTGTAGTAGTAGTAGTCATGAAATCTCAATGTAGTGCATTGATTTTTAGTTATAAAAAATGAACTAGATAGATTGATTGTTTACTGAATTGTCTGACAGAAATCAAAGGAATTTTGACAAAATAGATCCAAACGCATGAAGATCCTCTCACTCCCTTAGTTAATAATGAATATTCTGTATATTTGATATATTCATAAAAATTATATTAACACAATTTTGAAAATCTTCATTAATTTTTAAAATATAGTGAGTTGTATTGGTTTATGATATTTGTGTGGCAAGGGCTGTATTTTTATTTGAGATTATATTAATTTGTAATTTGAATTTGATTTGAGATTTTAACAAACATATAACGTAATAACACTTTTTAATGAGGATTGGTTAATACTAAAATTAAACAGTAAATATGAATTACTGTTACTTGAATGGGTTGCATTTGATAAGCTATTGAAGTTACTGTGCCACACAGTATAATGCTAAATGAAACGTGACATAAGTTTGTTTTTTTTTTCTATTTGCTCTTATTAAGAAAAAGGGTATGGGAAACAGATTATGAACCTATGTTAGCATGTAAAATGATTGCTGAGGGTTGAAGTTAATTTTTTTTTCTTTTGTAAAGATTTGACTTTTTTCCTAAGTAAGAAGTACTCTCGTTAGTTAATAATTAAAAAAAAAAAAGAATATGCAAGAAATGCTAAAGCAGGCTCAAGTATTTCTACTGGTGAAGTAACTGTTCCATAAAATACCTCTCTGTGTGATAATTTCAGCAAAAGGGAGGAGATAGTTCTCTCTCTGTGACACCAGAAGATGATGATGAGGCTCCACCACCCTTGGCTCCTCGGCCAGACAAAACAAAATCTATTGTAAGCACATCAGTAGTCTTCTGACTGTGTAAAGTCACAAGTTGATGATCATTATACTGTTATGTAGTCAAAATGTATTTTGCCTTTGAAATAACAATTTACAGTTGTTTATGCACAACGTATACCATGTCCAAAACCAATCACAAAATTATAAATAAAATAGGACTTTTAAAAGAAAATTAAAATTCAGGAGAAAATGATATTGCATAGGTTCTGCCTTTAAGTTATTTTTTTTAATAACACAAATTGATTTGTATGGACAGACACTGGCCATTTATTGATAGCTCTGTATATTTTGTTTTCTTCCCAGTACACCAAGCCTGTTGAAATAGAAGAGAAGACAGTTGGGAAACATGAAAGACAGAAAAAGAGAAAGATGACGGATGAGGAGATATTGGAAAAACTACGCACCATTGTCACCGTAGGAGATCCAATTAGAAAATACACCAAAATGGAGAAAATTGGACAAGGGTAAGATTCTAGGCATTTATATATATCCAATAGTTTGCTGTCAGGTGTCAATTGTATTATCAATATATTCATAATATTTAATATATACTAAAATAAAATACATTTCTGTACATAATGGTCTGCAACATGTCACAGTTTGTATGTTCTGAAAGTTAACATAATTGAGTCAGAATTAGTTTTAGGCTTCATTCACATGCAATGTCTATTTTCTAAATTCTATTTTCTATTCGCGGTATGTCTTATGATCTATGTACCAGTACAGAAATAAATTGAATTGAATTGAATTGAATATGATCATGGTCTGTGCCCTGAATATCCTGCGGCGTAATTACTGGCAGCGCGAGCCAGTTACTATAAGTTACTTTAAGTAACTGGCTCGCACTGCCAGTAATTACGTCGCGGGATATTCAGGGCACAGACCATGATCATAAGATACCGCGAATAGAAAATAGATTTTTAGAAAATAGACTTTCCATGAGAACGAAGCTTTAGTTTCCTATTGCTGTCATATAATTTGCATAATACATATATTCATTTTGCACTTATTGCCACTACATTTTCATAAAATTTACATATTGCTAGACGTGTATCATGACACATGTCTGGTGTATTTTGTCATGACACATGGCTGGCGTGTTTTATCATGACCTTGACTTTCCTTAACTTCCTAATTTCAGAGCCTCTGGTACTGTGTACATTGCTGTAGAGGTCGCCACTGGGCGTGAGGTCGCCATCAAGAGGATGAATTTGTCGCAGCAGCCAAAGAAAGAGTTAATTATCAATGAAATTCTGGTGATGAGAGAAAATAAAAATCCCAACATTGTCAACTACTTAGACAGTTACTTATTAGGGGAAGAATTATGGGTAAGTGAGAATGAACCAGTGGTTTATGAAAAGTAAACATGTAAGTAAAAGACACAGGGACTCATTATTGTAATTGAAATGAATACACTACTAAGCACTGATTAGGTTCATTCATGGATTTCTATTAAACTAAATTATAATTCTCTTTGATAACTATTCTCCTAATGTAGTCAGAGCTTCATGCCTGATTTCAAGACATGAAGCCGTTTATATTGATTTGCAAGAGGACAAACATTTTAATTACAAGATTTGCTGATGTACGAATATATAAACATAAATGCATTTTCATTATGATGAAATATGGTGTCTGAGACGTGTATACGTGTATTTTTTTCACCACTTTATATCTCCAGGTTGTGATGGAGTATTTGGCTGGTGGTTCCTTAACAGATGTTGTCACGGAAACATGTATGGACGAGGGACAGATCTCAGCAGTATCCAGAGAGGTCAGTAGAAAAAACAGAAAGATTTCCGTCAGAAGTATTACACACTTGACATCATTATAAATCCAAGTTTTTTTTTTTTTTTTTGTGTGTGTGTGGTTGTGTGGGCAGTAAAACTGAGTAACCATTAACAAATATAATGTGAACTTTATAGATTAAAAAAATTTGTGGAAATTAAACAATTAGTATAACAAAAATGTGAACACTTACACGTGGCTAATGCATATAATGTATAAAAACTGTGAGGCCATCATCTCTTTACTTAAAGCAAATTTTATCACATTTGTTCAAGTGTTTAAGCTGTTTAGATCCTTGGCAGTTCACAATGTCACAAACACTATGATAAATGGTCTGTTCTAGTGTCTTCAAGCCCTGGAGTTTCTCCATGAAAACCAAGTCATCCACAGGGACATCAAGAGTGACAATATTCTACTGGGAATGGACGGAAGTGTCAAGCTAAGTAAGGACCAAACACATCCAGCCTTTAACATACCACATAGATTTACTTTTTTTATTTTGATATCTTTTCTTTCATGGAAGGCTTTTTTGGCTTTTATGGAAGGCTTCCTGTGTGTTTAAGAAAAGGCACTTGTTGACAAACTAGTTTTTGTTCAAGTTTGTTTACACGTTCTGCAGAACTAGTTCTAATTATTTATTTATTTACCATGAACTTTGCTGTCTTAAAAGCCCTATTATATATCTGATTCATTTTTTATTGACAGATGAGTTGTATGGTTGTTGATTGTTATTATGGATAAAATTTGCAATTTATTTTCTTTCTCTTTTTTCTATTCAAGAATCATTTACAGAAAATTTGTTCTGCTGTTTCTCAGCTAGAAAATTTGTATGTAGTGATTTTAAAAAAAAGTTTGAATTATTCATATATTTGAAGAATAGCTAAAAATTGATGAATATAGAAAAATTAAATTAGATATCACCATATGCTCATGTTTTAAGTGATCACCCGTATTTTCAGGTTAATATGCTCATTAATGATTCAAAGTATTTAATACTGTGGAACAGATTTTATTTATTTATTTCATTCCTGTATGCTTTACTTTGATTTTGAGTCAGTGAGCTTTGAATTTTATCTTTTTTTTTTTTTTAGAGACATCAACCATTCTTTAACTCAAAATGATTTTAAAAAAAGGAATGTCTTAGTTTGAAAATTTTTTTTTTTGTTTTTGAAAATATATATGTCATTCTTGGGTGGGTTTTTTCTTGGGAAAATTGATTAAAAAAACAGGTAAATATAATTCTTGGAATAAGTTTTCCACTTCCGCTGAATATTTTTTTTGAAAAAGTTCCCCTTCTTAGGTGATTTTGGTATTTCTTGTTTTTAGTTGACTTTGGTTTTTGCGCTCAGTTATCTCCTGAACAAAGCCACAGGGTCACTTTAGTCGGAACGCCATATTGGATGGCCCCAGAGATGGTAACAAGGTAAAAGATGGCGACATGGCACCTGCCAGGGGCCATAACCAAGTAGTGGCCATTCCAGAACATTCTGGTTTTGCCTGTGGTCAAGTGACTTGGCCAAATCTTGCTTTGCCTTTTAGGAGTACCAGCAGCAGCAGCCTTGTGTGTGACCTTCAACTGACCTTGACTTGTTGACCTTGACCTTGTTTGAGACCTCCTGTGTTCTTGTTATTATTTGTGTTCACCATAGCTGTAATGTTCTAGGCCATAACTTCACTCGCTAAGTAAAAGTAGGGCAAGCGTTGCTTCTCTGTCATCTGGTTCAGGTTACTGTAACTTTCCCATTTGATCACAGCGGCTATTTGTGTAGTAGTCAAACTTACACATTTTAACCAAGTCATGTTGTTACGTCTTTGTTACATAGGTCAAGGTCAGTGCATCAAGGTCATTATTTTTGTGTATTACGAAGGTCAGCTATTCGAATGATGAAAATCAGAATTGCAGTTACCGAAACTTGGGCATAGGTAATTGATGAGGTTCAAATGCAGCAGCTTTTATACCTTTGCCAACCCTAGAGGCACCCTACACAACCGGTCAGATAAATTGGAGGAATTCATCCCTCTGCATCTGGGATCTTTTGAGGTTTTTCCGTACTATTTGTCACTCATCTAATCAAGCTTCCTTTGCTTTCTTTGCTTTCTAGCCGACTTTGGCTTTTGCGCACAGCTTTCTCCTGAGCAGAATAAGCGCAATACAATGGTCGGAACACCATATTGGATGGCCCCTGAAGTGGTCACGAGGTAAATGACTGCCTGGCATATGACTGGCTAAAACTGGAAATTTTTGATATTCAAAGAAGTAACAAAGATGGAGATTTGATGCACATTTCATCATGTGCTCTCGGATTTTAATTGTATTCACTGTCCATTACTAAAATTACTAAAATATTCATATTTTTTGATTAGCTGTGAAAATGGTTAAAAAAAATGAAAAAAAAAAAGATTTCATTAGTTACAAATGATATCAGTGGTGAAGTAACATTTTTTTTAATTATGTAAATGTGCACATTCAGTATTTGGTAATTAATCATTTTATTCACTCCCAAAACTCATTTTTCTGAACATTTTGTCTACTTACCTAAAACAAAATCAGATGACCTGCAAATCTTTTTCATCATCTTCACTGGAACCAATTCAGAATGAAAACTTATTTTCCAGGAAGCAATATGGACCCAAGGTAGATGTGTGGTCTCTAGGCATCATGGCAATTGAGATGATAGAAGGAGAACCACCTTATCTGAATGAAAACCCTCTCAGGGTAAGTCTGGGGAATAAAATATAGTAGTAATGATAAATGTGATTTTTTTTTCTCTTCCTCAGTTAATTTTAGTGATAGTGAATGTGCTATTTCCCATTTTAAGCCCTGTATCTCATCTGTAATACTAAGTGGCAGTGATATTCTGATATTTTTCCATGTCATACCCTCTGTCCCATTAGTCATCATAGGTGTTTGTGATACTATCCCATTTTAGACTCTCTGTCTCATTTGTTATACTAAATGGCAGTGATATTTTTCCATGCTATTCCCTCTTTCCCATTAGTCATAATAAGTGTCTGCGATACTATCCTATTTTAGACCCTCTGTCTCATTTGCTATACTAAGTGGCAGTAATATTTGTAAATATTATACCCTCTGTCCCATTAGTTATCATAAGTGTCTGTGATACTATCCCATTTTAGGCCCTGTATCTCATTGCCACCAACGGGAAACCAGAGATCAAGGAGAAGCATAAACTGTCCCCTATCTTCCAAGATTTCTTGGATCGCTGTTTGGAGGTGGATGTGGAGAGGCGAGCGTCGGCCTCGGAATTACTCAAGGTAGGTACTAGTTATAACAGGAGTTGTCCACTGTGTGGGACATAGAAGAGAGTAATTGTAGCAAGGCACAGTTGTGATTTATTAAAATCAGATTTTAAATCAGCAGAACTGTTATCTGATGTTGTCATCATTATGAAAACTTCCAGGCAATTGCTGGAGATTTTATTTCATAAATTTTATCATGAAAAAATTGTATTTCTAATCAACAGGTATAAAATCAAATTTTTGATAATTGCCATTTTTTTTTTTATTTTTTTTTATTACAGCACCCTTTCCTGCGACTGGCTAAGCCCCTGGCAAGCCTCATTCCATTAATTCTTGCAGCAAAAGAGGCCTCCAAAGGACACTAACAGGATGTGCCATTTTGTACATCACTTATAAAATCAACAAAAATGAAATATTAGGGCATAAGTATTGAATTTTACAAGAATAACTTGTTTACTTTGCAAAAAGTGAAAATAATTCAGAATGATGTCAGGTATTTATTGCTTTGGAGAAGATTAAACTGATTAAGATGAAAAAAAGCTTTTTTAAACGTGTGTAGTCTATGAGAACCCATGATAACGAATAGCCATTATAGTTATAAGTGAATCGCTGGTTAGTTAATGTCAGCTGAAATTGCAGTGTGTCATAACACAGCTAATTTGCACATTGTGGACTTGGGCCAAACTTTCAAATTTTTTTCTTATATTTGTAAAAGAGGCTTAGATTACTGGTAATGATATAGTGATATTTTTTCTTTCAACACAGAAATTAAGTCACATACTGTGTACTTTTGTACAGAAGATAGCATGAGCAGTTTCCTCATGAAGTCTTTGTGATGTGGACAATATACCACCCATCGTACATGTGTGTCCAGTATGTGTTTTATTTTCTGATCTTTGGTGACTGAAACAACATCTGGATGAATCAAAAATATCTGAAGTCAGCCTACTAGTTGTGTATCATTATACACATTTGAAAATGGTTTGCCATCAACTTAAACAGGATATGGACTTTTTAATTACTCAGTAACTAATTTGACTGTCTTATTTCTTTATGGCTACACTGGCTATCTGAGAACTATGTGACTACAAGGACTATTATTATACAGACTATCATGGTTTTTTATGACTAGATGATCTCTCAGGCTTTATTATATTTTGGTTATAGAAATCGGCATATAGTGATCAAACAAAAGAATTTTTTTAGAATTTTCATTTGGATCATTGCATTTTGACTGGTTATATGCTGTTACTTTTGAGTTGAATTTAAAAGTGATCAGTATATCCTTAAATATTAAAGAACTGGCTTTAAAAGGCAGATTGCAATATTACTCTTCGATGTATGTTCGCTTCAGTAATTCATAAATTTCTCTTGTGTTTATCAAGGTGTTTATCAAGGATCCGTTCACAAGATCTCAATAACACATCAATGTGAAGTGTGAGTCTCTGCAGCATCAATAGCCAGCTAACAATGACTTTGCCAACCTGCTCCTGTTAAACATTAATGTTCCCATAATGCATTGCTCAGACCCCCTCCCCCTCCCCATTCTGCCTTGCTTGTAAATTTGTAAACCTTCATTTAGATATGCCTAATTGTATTTTGGTTTTGTATGCTTATAGCTGATTAAGAAGTCATTCTTATGAGGAATTGATTAATCACAATCACGTACAATTTTCTGGGCTGACAGGGTTTTATCTTCAAATTTGTTTAGGTCTCATGCTTAGAAATAAATTGTACTTTGCTTATAATGTTATAATATGGCACTGGTGACAGAAATACTTTAGTTTTAAATTTACCAAAGAACATTTTGCTAGAATAATGACTCACATTAACAATTTTGCCTCGGTAAAAAAAATTAAAAAGCTTTTTTACGTTTGAAATTAGACGCCATTTAGAAGATAATGTAATGTGTTTCTTATACCTCATGGAGTCACCCCGAGGTTCAGAAGTCCCTTAAGACTCTCCACTATTATCCAGGGACCTTTGTTATTCAGGGTGCATTGAGTAGTCCCAATCACGCAGTTGCCATCAGGGAGTCTGTGCACTTTGTCAGTTGAAAATAATGTGTAAATGTCTCTATAGTCAATTATGATACTATATATATTTATATAGGCCATTGACCTATATATTAAAATAGGTCACTTGTGTAGTTCACCCTGAGTTTCAGAGTTTGACTGCTGTATTCTCTGTATTGTTACAAGAGGATAGTTTCCAGTAAATTCTGAAACTCAGGGTGATGTAGTGCTTTATCTGTTACAGTTTCCTTGTTGGGCATAAATGCAACTATGTCCCCATGTTAGGGGTGAGTGTCCTAATAAAAGGCTTAAATGTCATTAAATCATGCCTTTAAATGTTGATGGCATTCAGATAGTAGCAAAGGTGTGTAATAAGATTCCACATTTTAAATGCATTTCCAAAACTGTATGTCCTACACATTGAAGAAAAACATGTTGTTATGATATTCAGAATGTGTATTGACTCTCTATCTCTCAATAAGGAAAAATAGAATTCATAAAGAAAATGGTCATGATGAAATGTAATTAATTTGTAGGTTCATGTTTAAGCCCCATTATTGTCTTCCATGTACAAATATAAACTTGTAGCTTAAACAGCTTAATTTAACAAACAGGCAGTTGCAATTTATTCCTTTGTAATAAAACGATGGGTTTGATATGCATATTAAATATCACAGAAAATATTAAACTGTTTTGTTTTTGCCCTCTCTCTGTTTCTCTTTCTCTCACTCATGACAGATTCCCAGCTTAAAGGAATTCTTGGATTCCTCGGATTATATACATTATAATTTATACTGGCCTGGGCGTAATTTGTTCCAAAATGTCATCATAGATTCGAATCAAATAGAAGAGGGGTTAAAAGGAGTTTTTCACAGGATTGAGGTTAAAATTGAATACTGAAAACATCGACTGAATATATATTTTAATAGAGTGTATTGATTTTGCTTTCGGAGTTTTATTGAAACGGGGCGAAATTTCCAAATGGAAAAATAAAATAGAAAAAAAAAAAAAACCCGACACCATTGTCCTGGCAATGTTGCATGGCAAGTTTGAAGAGAATGGCCGTTTGTGTTGACGGGAATTTTTTAACGATTTTCAATTTTTGTTCTATAAAAAGAAGGAATCTTATTTGACATTTTTGCGATTCTCATTTCGAGGAATGTTATATATATCAAAGTGCAAATATTCAGTTTTTGCGTTTCTGGTTGGCTCAATGAATTTTTGAAACCCGTCTTGATAAAGTTTTGAATCGCGTGCTTCGCGGAAGTTAGTATGAGTATTGATCTCGAAGGGACAGCGAAAATTAAAAAAATTCAGGATGTTTTTATATTCTCAGATTCTTACAGAATTATGGCAAGATTTAGGAAAGAAGGATCAAAACTTGTTTAGTCGGAGAAAAATATCGTTTACCCCAGGAAAATTCGTTTAACAGGAAAATCTTAAACTGTACATCTGAAATATAACAATAAATATAAAAAGTAAACAAACACATTAAACTGTTACAGTTGGATCTAATGATCAAACTTGAATTGAGTTGAGTCGGTAGTTTACCCGCTACGGCAGCATTTCATATATACCCCGTAAAATCCGTAAACTCGTTCAGCATGAAGTATGATGGCACATCTTCTCAGCGGGATTATTTGTATTTTTCTCAAAAGTCACACCCTTGCTTTACGAATTAAAATTCGTTAGCGCCCAAGTTTTCGCCGCTTTAAACTTAATTTAATGATTTCCCCCTCTTGGGTCCCTGCAGCTGCTTATTCAGATTGTTCACGTTATTATAGTCCCCAGAAGAAATTTGAAATATATAGAAATAACTACTGAAAACTACAACGTACAGTTCGGTGTGAAGCGCCCTTACATCTCAATCATCTTGCTCCCAAACCTGTTTAAAGTTGTGGATTATGAAGACAAACAAAAACCTACTTATGTGAACGAAGTGATAATTATTATAAAAAGAGTCCAAGTCATCTTTCTAAGATCTAAACATATAGGCTTATCAAACAAAGCGATCGAGCACGACATGAACTTCGTCACCAATGGTAACGTTATATGATTGCGGTTTGGCGGTGCGCGGGATAGCACACAGCACCCGGACTTTCATAACCAATAATTTGTAGTAGGCCTACGCCTACATGTAGGAGATAAAGACAAAGTTGGCTTTTTCAGTGAGGCTGTAGAAATAAAAGTTTCCATTTCAGTGCTGTCAACAACCGGTAATCTCCCGATTTGGGGACTATCTTCCGATCAGATTAAAAATCTCATGATCTATCAGATTTTCCTCTTTTTTCTTTTTTTAGAACGTGCGGTAACTGCATTCACGAAAATGTGTCATCACGCTTTCTTAGTTTCATTGATGGAGAGGTGATCGCAGTAAACAAAAGGAAATGAAGCGCCAAAAACAAAAGCATGTCGGGCCTTTGTGTGAGCACCATCCTGAACACTATTATGTATGTATACGGATGTATGTATGTTAATGTTGTCATGGGAAGAAGCTTGTTCCGACAGGAACCAAGATACCGATCATTTAAACCGCAGTATTGTTATTAGGCCTAATTAAGTGCTTACAAGTAGGCCTACGTAGGCCTACACTTCCTCAGTTAAGAAAGCGGACCTTCTCCCGAACAGTTGCAGTCTAGGCCTACGTGTCGGATCATTCATAAAACTATAGACACTTTCAGTATTTTGTCAAATTGGTAGCTGTGTGAACTTAAAAACCTATAGGCCTATATATGGCTTTACAAAGCTGAAAGCCTGTGGTTGGTAAAAATGTGAAACTGAAAGATCTAAAACACCGAAAGATAAATGATAGTAAAATTAGCGACACTTTAACTTCATTTTCACTTTTCTGTTTTTGTTCAGTTGGACCAATACAGGCCTATTGAGAATGCGTGTACTGGACGGAGGGGTCTATGGGGGGGGGGGGGGGGGTGCGGGCCAAGAATATGCGTGCTAAAAATAGCTAGGGCCTATACATATTAATGAATTTATAAAAATGTAAAGATTACTTAATAAATCACTATATCACCAACGTTGTGGCTTTTCAGAAGAAATCAAACTGATGAAAATGACAGGCAAAATCCTAAAGAGCTAAAGAAGAGACCATCGAAAAACAGCGAAAAGGATAGCCTACGAAGGCCTAAAGAGAGTTGCCGCTCTTTGTAATTATTCTAAGTCTACACAATATCTGCTACGTCATCAGTTTCCGTGAAAAGTGACGAATGCACATGGGAAGTTGAGAAATCGTCTGGCAAACGAAGAACTCTGTTGTACAAAGTGATAATATTCGGAATTTCCCTGTAGTGTATGTACTCAGGTAAGGTCGGTCGTTTTTCTTACGGTAAAACCCCGCTTTGGGTATTGAATTATTGGAATACATTTGCTTATGCTTAAAATGAATCGGGGAATTGTGTGACTGACTCTGAACTAGCTCTGAACTGGAAGTCGCCGTTGTCCGTAGTCAGGTCGATCGTCTGCGAATGCTGTACACCACACCTGAATCAGCGACGGTTGCTTAGGATGCGATGCTAACTTATTTGATAGATAAGACGATCCAATGCAGATTCTAGCGTTTCCATACTGAAAACAAACTGGATTAGACACGGTCGATAATATGGGGCGCAGTCACACTTGCTGAATGAATTCTGGGGTTTACCGACCAATTAATGTCGTGATGAACGGTGCCGTTGTGGTGCTGGCTACTAAGTAGTGAAATAAGAACGAAAATGGTCTGCTGATGATAGTGATATAACCAGGAATTTTCGGGGGGGGGGGGGGTATGACAAATTTACTTTTTATGAGAGTATTCTATTTGTTACAAAGTATATTGTTGTTGTTAAAGCATTGTCTGGTAGTCATAAGCCTGACAAAAGATGCCTGCATCTTCACTACAACAGGTGTATTAATTCAACCAGAACTACATACATTTCCCAGACACAAGTATATGATAGTGTTTAGTTACTAGTATATGATAGTTTATGGTAAAGCTATTTTTTGGTTGATTGAGAGATTGATATGGTTAATGACTTGGCATGTTGACTTAATTTTAGTCATATATGAAACTAGTGGAAGTTATAGACTATGTGTTAATTACTGGAAATCCATGCTCACGCAATATGTATCTGTAAGCCTCCCAGGGTTTTTTTTTTTCTGCAGACAGTTTTATTTCCCTCCACCTCCTCTGTCTCCACTTAAAATTTCTACAAAGACTTAACCCCAATGAATCAATCAAATCACTACACATACAGAGATACATGACAATGCAGCTCATTAATAGGAGGGGGGGGGGGGGGGCTAGAAGCCACCAGGTACATCATAAAAATATCCAGCATCAACACAATGTTTGAATTAATGAGGATCTTTATTGATTTAGCACCTTTTACACAAGTTCATGACCTAACAGTATAGTATTGTATCAACGACATACTAGTACTAATATTCTGTATATATTGAAGTTGTACTTGTCATACATGTACATCGAACATTGGAATCTCAGAGACACATAGTATTGACAATAGATGAACAGCATTTTTTCAGTTCATTTAACAAGGCATGAGGGATGTTGTTGACAAACAATTACTTCAGATTATACTACCTGGCATGTATATCATTGTTTTGGTTATTGAGATGTGGAACTTAGCCAAAGGTGATGTGATGTTGCAATAATTGGTGAATACATAATCAGTGTCAAAATTGATTAAACATGAGCACTGGCCTTTTAGCCAAGGGTCAGTGATTAGCCAGCTTGGTAAGACTAGAATGTCAGTGTATACCATAGCAGAGTTCAGTGACAAAAAAAAAAAAAACAACAACAAGAATTGGTATAGCTTCACTTGTTATGTTAACATGTCACATCCTGGTATGAAATGAATGTGGGCTAAACTTCATATGGGGACTTTTCATACACTTACAGTAAGATATACTACTGTAACAGTAACTGTAGGAAGTCGGATATTACAGATCAGCAAGATCTTTGTGATATCGCACACTTCTTGCTGATATGTCGTGCATCTGTTACATACTGTAATTATAAAGTCTGTGTTAACTTTGTTTTACGACAGCAGTATTCAGATATTTGATAACTACTGAAAGTATATATGTATATTATATATATATATGCCAGGTATAGGAGAGACCCATATATATTTCTGCTCTATCTGAGAATCAAGATAGGGAAAGTAATAAATTATATAGCAAGAATATAGATACTAGTAGATGTATGTCACTTACCCTGAGTTTCAAAGGCCACTGGAAAAGTGCCTTTGTATAACCTGGCATCAGGAGTTCCCAATGACTTTTGAAACTCGGGGTAATGTGATTGCATGCTAAGTGCATATGTGTATAATCTTGTTATATATAATAATATATATCAGAGTTCCTCAGTCTGTTGACCTCGTCAGGGCCCTTTAGCCTATATGTTATCAGTTTATACATGGGTCAGTGTACATAAGCCACTTAAAATGTGTACAGTGGTGATACTATGTTTATTTACCATTGATATGCCTGGTATCAGGTAGAAATGAATGAAAACACTTTGTACTGACTCCTTAATAATACTGTGGGGCACATTTTACTCTAAGGGCCATTCAGAATAGATGATTTGAGTACTAACTGATCCGTCGACTAAATATGGCCAACCCTACTAGTACTTCATAAGCGCAGCCGCTAATTCTATGATGGTCTCCCTGCCTCCACACGTGCCGTCACTGCAGGGGCCTGGCAATAGAACCTCGGAACCAGTGGTGTGTGTAGAGGCGTGGAGACCATCGTGAAACAGCAGCATCGCTTTTGAAGTGTGGTCGGCCATATTTAGTCGGTTTAACAGATACAACACTCGTCACTATCACATCGCGTACTAGGCAAGAGCGATGTCGCGTCTGATACTGTGAAATGCGTACTGATACACACCTTGAAAACGGGTAGTGTAGTCCGATCTACCGGTGAATTCAGGATCATTCGGTGCCGAGTCTGGTAGTTGGGTAGGACTGAAGTGGTTTCGGAATATACTTGTGCTGGTTTTCAGAGCATTCAGGTGCTTATTACAAGTTTGAAGGAGAATTTAATATGATTTTTGCTGATATTTCTGATAAAGAGGGAGAATGGACAGCTCACAAATGCCTTGCAGGGGAATTCAGACTCTCAGCATAATTACTGTGGTGCATATGGAACCCCTTTTCTTTTAATGGATGATGTTATAAGTTTCTGAGTACATCTACAAATGCAGTTCTACATGATGGCCTCTACTGCACTGTACAGTCCTCTAGTGCTGGTGATTGTATCCTCCACCATACAAAGATGCCATTACGAGAAAGTGGCATGAAATAAAAAATAACGAAGAAAGTTTTAGTGGTTTGTGGCAACAAAAAGCAATTATTAGCTATTTTTGGGTAGCTGTACATTCTTGGAAGGTACCCAGGGGATGATAATGGTTTATAAATTAAAGCATTTGTTTTACTTTAAGATGAACTACATGGGATTTTCACACAAATCTAATTTTCTTTGAGAAAATGCAATTTTGTCCTACTCAGGGTTGATTTTACTTGTTTTAGTCAAATGAAAACCAACTGGAGAAAAAATGATTAAAATAGTAGTAATTTGGCTAAGCAAAACAAAAAAAAAAGAAAAAAAAATCCCAGTTATTTCTTTAGTTTTAAAGGCAATAATAAAGCCTTTACCTTTACTGTTACCTGTAGTAGCTACTGTAGAGGTTGATATCAGCAACATTGCAATACTACCAAGAGCTGGCAAGATCAATAGTGGCTATTGGTCGTAACTGATGTGATGATATGACATTTAACATCTCTCTGAACTCAGACAGCCATAATCAATTAAAGAAGAAATTGTAAGCAATAGTTTATGATTATACTTAGTGTTAAATAACATAAATGTGCCCCATAAAGATAATGTGCCTGTACTTTACTTATTTTGTTGCAGCAAAAAATCAATGTTACAATAAAAAGATCAAGCAGTGAGCCTGGAAGATTACTGGCTGTTAAATGACATTTATGCCCATAAATTAAATTAATGCACACATGGAACAATTGTTTACACTTATGTTTACTCTGATAGTCAAACCTGACAGTTCATACACAATGTTATGTCTAAAATTTCTCTGAACTTGGTGTCAAATCATATTTATGCCCCAAGATATTTTATTTTTATTTGCCATGAATTAAGCTAAAGTGCATTCAGTGGCTAGTAAGACCTTTGTATGGGCAGGGCTTGACATTAAGGGTGGCCACTGGCCCTGGCCATTGAATCGATGGGGTTACTGACCCAAAGAGCAAGTAAAATGTCATGTGTGAAATCATCCTTGCAATATTTACTGATATCTTGCGCCAGTATCGAAAAGAGTTAGTGTCAAGCCCTGATGGGGCAATTCAGAATGAATGATCAGAGTACTTACAGTACTTATTATTATTATTATTAATATTATTAATTATTGTTATAATTATTAGAGTACTGATCTGCTGACTAAATATGGATGACCATAGATCAAAAGCGCCAGTATCGAAAAGAGTTAGTGTCAAGCCCTGATGGGGCCATTCAGAATGAATGATCAGAGTACTTATAGTACTTATTATTATTATTATTATTATTATTAATATTATTAATTATTGTTATAATTATTAGAGTACTGATCTGCCGACTAAATATGGATGACCATAGATCAAAAGCGATGCAGCTGATTCCTGATGGTTTCACTAACTCCACACGCAACTTTAAAGGGATTAAATCTTGGCTCCAAGGTTTAATTGCTAGGCCCCTGAGTGACAGTATGTGTGGAGGTGGGGAGATCATCAGAAATCTAAGGGAAAATGCAATATATAACATTGCACAATCTTAGAAAAAATGCAGTAAAACATATAAAGTGGGTGAGGAAAAGTACATGTATATAGTTGGCCCTGGTCAAGGTGACACATAAAATTCCACCCTTTAATTGTAATATATGAGGCATGATTCCTTCCCATTTGGCTGGTGTTTATAATATGGTGTTATTCAATTCATGAGACTCTGAGGCTTTTGGCTGTTGGTCAAAAGAGTGTGTTAAACAGCATGGCTTCCATGGTCTAAAGCTTTACATGCTCTTTTTCAATTGTTGATCAATACGATACACAATCTATGACATTTTAATACAATACAAAAAGTCAAAAGTGAAATAAAACATCATTGCCATAAAAGTCTACAAAAAAACCCATAGTTTGTAGTACAAATAGTACATATTAGTAATCATAAATCGAATTTTTGTCCTAGAAAGATAATATGTCAGTAATTGTGCCCTGCAGAATTTTGCAGTCAGAAAAATCAATGAAAAGG